CAAAAAATTAGCAAACAATACATAAATAAGTTTCTATTTCATTAAAATCAGATTGAAATACGAATGTAAACATATCTAGATATTGTAAACGTATGATATAATATAATATCTATTACGTATTTTATAGATATTACTGCAAATTGTATAAATTATTCGATATTTGTATCGAGAGTGTTTCAAGCAGGGGAGAGTGGAAGAATTGTGAACACGGGATAAACGTGGATAATACTTTGCAATACATTAGAGTAATGATAACCCCTTATTTCTCGTATTCAATAATAATACGATATATGCTTATTGTTGTACTATAACATGTGACCATAGAACGCACACGCTGTAAGCTAAATACTATTACAAATTTTCAATGATTTGATGTAGGAGAGAATGGGGTAATTTCGTGAATATCTCAGGGAAAATTTAAATATAGCCGGCGATTATTTATCAATTATTATAGAAATTTTATTAACTTTAAACTACAATAATTAACATTTGTATACTACATATTAATATAAACTATATATAGTTTATATTAATATAAATTATTCGCCGTCATGCAGGGTAATGCCGAATTAGTTTTGTCTTTTATTTAAAATTATAATTTTAATAAAAAATTATAATTTTAAATAATACACAAAACTAATTTGGCATTACTCTGCGTGGTGGCGAATAATTCGAGGCAAGGGTTTTGTATTTTATTTAAAATTATAGTTTATATATGAATATGAATTATTAGAGTTTAAAGATAAATAACTAGAGAATCTTTTAAATAAAGACTTTTATATTAATTGATAATTGCTAGTTTTATTCAACTTTTCCCTTAAATGTCTACAATTCCCCCATTTTCCTCCATGCGAATAGCAAATTTGACGAATGTAAAATACATAAGATCTATTTTGAAGGATCGGTGCTTCAACTGCTATAGGCAATCAACTACCTAAAACGCAAATAAAAAGCTAAAGAAACAAATTCGTTAGATTCAGGGTGTGTTCCGATATACACTGCCAGTACTGGCAGTACTAAAAATTTGTTCCGCTATTACTACGCAGCTCGCTGCGACAGCATCTAGTTCCCTCAATGACGTCATAAATGATAGCCATATTGCCATTGCGACTACTGCGGCTTTCGAGGTGAGGCAGTTACAGTGCAACATCGCTTAAAGAAGCACAACGCGTCGAAATATTTGATCCAGGAAATAAAAAAATATATACATTATATTCAACTGCAGAAAATGCACATATATTCAATTTTACCGAAAATGATTTTTAAATTCCATATCTGAATATTCATTAACTGTGTCCATATAGTTTTTAACACGAGGTCAAACCTTGAATTGGTGATCCCATAATTAGTTCATCTTCTTCGGAAGTACTATCGCTGCTGTTTTCGTTCAAAATTTATTGACAATTTAATAGTTTATTCATGTCTATTTACACTACTACCAGTCTACTGCAAAGCCGTTCCGAAATATGACGTTACAATAGTGCTGGCAGTACCACAGTAATTGTGGAACGGCTTCGGCACTGTTGTGATGTCATGGTTGCACTGCCAGTAAAAAGGGAACACACCCTCAAATGACAGATCATAAATATAGATAATTCCAACAATTTCCCATTGACGGTTACATTTGTAATTAATAATGTGCGCACATTTTTACGATTCTTTAATGAATTATATATATCTGAATTATATATTTATATAAATTACTATCAAAGTAACTTAAATGTATCGTAAATGTCCGGCATGACTGCAATATTTCTCTTTTCTTAATTATTTAAAACCGTCGAAATTCAATTACCTACTGCTAATACGTTGAAGTCGTGTTGCTCAAAGATGCAGCAGAATTTATATTTAGTAGAAGAATATTATTTTCTCTGGAATAAATTACTAAAAGTCTTTTGACGAAAAGTACCTCAAGTACCTTGCTTTCGTTCTCTTAGATAACGAATTTACTTTACAACCGAAGCTACCGAGATAAAATAGAGGGGCAATAACCCGCATTAAAGGGCTACCGACAAAATCGATTGAGCCATCGACGATTGGTTGGTGTCATAAACTTTGCCAGGATTTCCGTAGGAAATCAGGGGGTGGTTCGAGAAAGGGGACAGCATGGGAATAGGGCGCCCCTTTTATCGTCCTCGTATTTTTCCGTAATAACACGTTCCTCTTTCCTTCGTCTCCTAAGTTGCGGTTTGCAGCATCCAAAGTAGGCTGCGTAGAAATTTTATCGCTGCGCGAAAAGAAGGGAGATTTTATTATATGAAAGTCTCACAATCGCAGAATAATATTTCGTTGTCATTACTTGCGGAATATCATTATTTCTTTTTCAATACGAAATGAACTTCTCAAAGTAATGACGATGAGTATTGACGTAGTCTAGTAAAAAAATTAATGAGAAAAATTAATGCGCTATTCGCATCATGCAAATATAAGAAAAGAATGGTTTTGCTCAAGTATCTAAAAATTTAACTATAGATACAGATTTGAAAACATTTTTGTTAAACCATTAAAATAATTATGTAAAACATTTAAATGTTGTTTACAATATAGCAGAAAATTTTAATATTCTAGCAATTAGTTTTAATGTCTTATGTGGTTATATATATATCTTTTTTTTATGATATAAACAAAATTATGATCTGTATATCTAGCAAAATTTTTTAAACAATATAATATATTATAGGACCGTATATGTAATAAACTATAGAAACCAAAGTCTTAAACGGTCTAGCTGGATCTTAAGCATTAAGATCCAGCTAGACCATTTAAATTTTTTAATATTTTAGATCGTTCTTTCTATGTAATAATAAAAAAAACATTTAAATAACCTCTTAATGTAGCAAACATCATTAACATTAACAGATTATTTACAACCAAGTCAAGAGTGATTTATTATGTTCTTTTTATAAATTAAAATAAATTCATTCTAAACCAGTATTTTATTTCGATGCTTTAGACAACCGATCTCTAAGTTGACATTTTCGTTCCATCGTCTACACTCATCGCACAGTTCGCAAAAAAATAACATCTTCGTCGGGCGGCGTCTCGGATATTTAATTACTTCCTTTTACGAAAATTCCACATGCCAGCAAAAACAATCCCTAAATGCCGAATATTCCTGTTCGTATTTCAGCACGTACAAACGTGGTGAGATGGCACTTGATGGTCACGTTACAATACAATTTACATCTGCAGCATACTCACACAATTTAAATAAAGCACATCTTCGTGGACACGTCATGAATATAAAGTACTTCCTGAAAATCGGCATAGTGCATGCAGACTGCAGAGAAATGTGTATTTTCGTTGAGACAATTCTTAAGATGAAAATCTACATGGTTACAAAACTCCGAACTTCGAATTGTTCCGCGACATGTAAATTTATGTCGTACTACGAAACGGAAATGGTTTATATCGAATTATATGTAGAATATGAGAAAATTTAACATGAATGACTTTTTTAAAACAGTTAGCTATTTCATAACTATTTTGCTAAAAAGAAACGTTCTCAATCTCTGTGAAATAAGATATTGTAAATTTTTTACCAATTCAAAATTGAAAATTATGCGAAATGTAAAAAACAAATCACGATTAGTATTAATTTCTCATTAAAGAATAACTTATTAATATCTTTCTGTCTGTGAGATATTTTGCAACGTGGCATCCGTTGTGGCGTTGCAATATGATAATAAATGCAGAATATAGCACCAATAAATATTTTAGGAAGACGCCGATAACATCTTCGGTTGCATGCAAGAATCAAGTAATTTATATTCCATCGAATCGCAAGATGTGATCATTACCAAAATAGAAAATATCTTAAATTTTGTCATATGTTTCGGCACAATATACATATACATGTCATCTTTTTTTTGGAAATTTGTATGTAAAGGAAACGATTAGAACTTCGAAAATATATAAATCAGATATCGTTCTGTATAAAACATTAAGTTATAAAATGGTCCAATTTGTCACAAAAACAAGCAATGTTTTTTTTATTGTTAGTATATAAAGGTGGTTATTTATTGTCGTACCTACATATCTATTTAATTTAAGCACAAGTATTATTTAACTATATAACAAAATTCTCTACAAATAAGAAAAAATTATAAAATAAAAAATATATATATATGTATATGTATATAGAAGAAAAGACTACTCTCTATATTTTAGAATTTTTCAAATCAAAATTCTTTTAGGATTTTAAATAAAATGTTTTAGATCCAGAGTCTTATTAAAATGGAACGTTTAGTAGCTTCAATTAGGACTAATAATCATATCTCACGATATACAAAATCTATATAAAAAGAATGGTTTTATTAAAGTATTTTAAAAGGTTTAGCTAAATACAAATCTGAAAAAATTTTGTTTAGATTCAAATGAATCAAAATAATTATGTAAAACGCTCAAACTGTTTGCTAGAATATTAAAATTTTTTACTGCATTGTTATCGACGCGTTCTGAATAAATTTTTGATGATTCAACAAAATTATTTTCGGATCTGTATTTGGCTAAATTTTTAGATATTTCAGCAAAACCATTCTTTTTATATATAAAAAGAAAAAGAAATTATCTTTAATACATCTTATTATGTAATATATGTATACACATTCATTAAAAATTATATCAGCCCCTTGCCGCAGATCCGTCATTACGTTACCACATCGATCGATCCTAATTTTGGACGTTGGACTGTCTTGCACGCCAACTGGTAAAAGTAAGTCCTTTTAGCAAAAAAAGAATTGAACGAGGAAACAGATGATGTTATACCAATATACACACCGGTGTAGACAATTACGCACGTAATAGCCGCGTAATAATGCGGAATCGAACCCGTTTTGAGAGCAAGTCTGCGACGGCTCTGACCGTTACGTCAGATCGGAGAATCGGATGGACCAACCCGACCAGCCAGAAAAAATAATCGGGAGGTGCGCGGATCGCGGAGCAGGGCGTGTTCCTTGTCGTTTCAGTGAAAGTAATCGCATACATCCCGAACCGGGCATTTCGTATAAAAACGCTGATCGACCGGACTGATGGCACACTCGATCCAAAACTACCACGAGAAACAATGAAGTGCTTCGCGGTAAGTCAAAGGAATTTCTTATGCACACGCATAAGCCAGTGTACAAAGACGTTTATTCATTATCGTACTCTCTAAATTTCTTGGAGTGAAATTCACTTCAAAGGAAAATAATTATTCCTTTTTTGGAGTGAATTTTATTCCAAAAGTGTGAAATCTCACCCCAAAAGAGTGAAAATCTGTCTCTCTTATTCAAGAGTGCAAATTTTTCACTCTTTTTCAATAGTGGCAATATTTTAACTCTTTTGGAGTGAGATTTTTCTCCAAGAACTTTAGAGAATATATATATCCTCTTTAATAATATTTTCTATTGCTACTCAGTTGATTCAGAATTGCTAAATTGCTCGCTTTATATTATGAATGAAATTGCGTTAAAATTATATAATTTATATATATATGTATATACATATTTTCTAAAAGACCTATATTATAAAGATATTAAATTATCTAATTATATTAATTAATTAACACAAATAATTAAATACATAATACGTAATTTGATTCAATTGATAATTAAATTTAACGAAAATGTAATCTATTGAAACATGTTCAATTCGAACGCTGCCTCTGAAATCAGTTTCAAAAAGTTTTCATGATGCTTTAAAAAGTGTATTGATCTATTCTTTTTTTTTCTCAAAATTGTGCAGATTCTGCTGTTGGCAACCGCCGTGTTGGCGGCCGAGAAGTCGGGAAACTCGAAGAATCACGACAAACGGAGTGTGGCGGGGGATCACGGTTACGGTCTAAGCGGTATCACGAGCTACGGTTTAGGCGGTATCTCGGGTTACGGTTTAGGCGGTGTTTCGGGTTATGGCTTAGGCGGTATCTCGGGTTACGGTTTAGGCGGTATCTCGAACTACGGTCTAGGATATGGTTTGGGAGGATACTCGACTGGACTCGGCACGAAGGTACTCGGATCGGGACTCTCAGGAATCACCACGGGTAACAACCTCGCTTCCGCCTATGCTTCTGGACTAGGATATGGACTAGGAGGTTCTTACGGAGGATACTACGGAGGTTACAATAGCCCGTACCTCATCGGTGCTGGTCACGCTACCGGATTCAATGCATTACCCAGCTTGGCTCATGCTAAAACTGAGCGCATCACCGGTCTTACTGTGCACCGCGAAGTCCAAGTACCAGTTCCGGTGCCGCATCCAGTTCCAGTCGAAGTAACCAAACACGTACCCGTCGCACACCCCGTACCTTACAAAGTAGACCGTCCCTACCCCGTTCCAGTAGCGCAACCAGTACCTGTCCCTGTCACTCGGCATGTACCCGTAAAGGTTGACCGTCCCTACCCCGTTCCGGTAGCGCGAACCGTCGAAGTACGCGTACCACAACCGGTGCCGGTTCCAGTATCGCAGCCGGTGCCCGTTCCAGTCTCTGTCACAAAACACGTGCCGGTTTCCGTACCATCTACCTTCGCAGTCGCACCATCTACCTTCGCAGTCGCACCATCTACCTTCGCAGTCGCACCATCTAGCTTCGCAGTCGCACCATCGACTATTGGCTTCGCGTCTGGAATTGCGCCCACTGAATTCGTCGGTCTAGGATCCGGCAGTCTGGGAGCCATTTCGGGTACAACTCTGGGTAGCGGACTGACTACCGGTCATCTCGCCAGTGCCAGTGGCTTGGACAGCGGCATCGTCTCAAGCGGTTACACCAGCGGTCTCGTTAGTGGTGCGGAACATATTGGACTCAGCAGCGGCGTGGAGCATGTTGGACTCAACAGCGTACACCCAACTGGGTACACCAGCATAGTACACCCAACTGGGTACACCGGCACATTGGGATCGACCGGCACATTTGTGGCATCTCACGATGCTCTCAATGGCGAATATCCATTGAAGAAGTGGTAAACTCAACTCAACAACTCGATTGGACGTGTGTCTTTTAAAGCGCTTCTCGGGCGTAATTTACGGATCGAACGTGCACAAATACCAATTGTGTTATGTACGTTGTCGAATAAATTTATTTTTATACACATTATCTCACACGATCGTTATTTAACTGTAGTATGCAGTTATGCAATTATATCACGGCTTTCTTTTACTTTGAGATAACCACTCAGATCCTCAATATTCTTTAACGTTTTACATCTTTTTGTTAAATAATTTGCTTGCCAGAGATCTCAACAATTATCTTCTTTACACTACAATTTCTCTTATCTCTCAATATGTCTTTGATGTAAATTTGGTTTATTTTCTAAAACAAACTCCGGTCCACACTTCTCTAGTCTATAATACATAATTTAGATATACCCTTTGTAAATCTCATTGAAAATAAAATTTTAAAAAAATTAAAAAAAAGAGTATTTAAAAAATATCCTATATAATAAAATGGGGAAAGGAAGAATATCGTATCGAACCTAAGAATAACATTATATACAACAGTACGAAATGTAAGATCAAAGTCCAAGTAAAAATTATTATTAAAAATTTCAAGAAGTTGCCTATCAAAAGCAATTGCTCCTGATATTTTTGCGAAAATGTCTATACAAATTTTTTTTCAATAAGAATCTTATTGGACTGTGTTTATATAAATACACAACCAATAGAAAAAAGAGCCTAGAACGATCAAAGCTGAATCTTTGGTGCTTGAATAATTTTTAAATAATTAATGCTCAAATAATTTTGATGCTTAAATAAAGTGTGTGTGTGTGTGTGTGTGTGTGTGTTTTGTGTGAATTTATATATTACATATCAACTTCTGCCAAACTGCGTGCTGAATTGATTTTTCGGTCTTAAAGCCCTATATTGATAAAGAATTATCGTAGTACTATCAGAAATTAAATTGTTTAGAAATTTAATAATTTATTTTTATAGGCATCTTTGAAAGATCTTAATAATATTGATCAACGTATTAAAAAAAGTTTTTAAGAAATCTCTTCTAAATCTTTGTGTTTCTTCGTCAAATATAAAATTGTAACATTCATATCAAATTGCCTAAAAATTACGGATTTCATCGACAAAACGAAAAAGGTATTAAATGAAAACGTTGGAGATAATGGGTAATGTATGTCACCCAACCCCCTCTCCCCTCCCATCAGAGTCAAAATGGAGGTGTCTCTGCAAATACACGACACATACAATGAAATCGATGCAATTAATAGCAGCATTTTGCGAGGTGGGAGGAATGACGTCACGAAATTTCTTTCACGTCACACGGGGCTTGCAAACTGGACACAAATCAGGGCTTTGTGAACAGACAACGCGCAAATTGATTTTTTATCTAAAAACACCGAATAAAAAAGTTGGTTGTACTTATTGCATTAGACAAAATATTCTAATTAGCTTTACATTTTTCTATAGAAACATAAATTTTTTACGTTTATAAAATAGAAATAAATTATATGATATATATATAATATAAAATAACAATATAAAATAAAACAAAATAATAAAAAATAAATTCTTTTATTCACGAAAATGATATCCAAAAAAATAATACATATAAATTTTATAGGTACAATGCATATTTTGATACGTAAATAGAGTGTAAACTTATGTAAAATTTTCATAATCAATTCTCTTGTAAGTACGCTGAAAAAAATGTTGTTAACTTGACTAAATGCGTTTAGTTCGTAGTGATTATTTATGTATATATAGTTCAAGTATTTATATATTTAGATTTTAAATATACGTGAGTTATAAACAAATTTTGTAATTTAAAACATGTTATTTGTTTGAATTATCAAATATTTGTTAATTCAAATATTTATTTATTTGAATTATTTGCTTGACAACCCGTAACCGCTGCATTTGCTAATAAACTAATATTTTTTTAAATCAGCAACTTTTTTCTCAGTGTAGTAAAAATTAGAAATAATTATTGTTAAAGTCTCTATGTGAGTAATATAAATATCTATACTTCCTACAAACAATAATAATAAATTACTAATAATGTTTTCGTTTAACATTTAAGAATGAGATAATCCGTGATACACAAGAAATGGACATTACCATTTGAAGCTTTCATCAGCAAGTTTTCTGATTTGCTCCCTTTACCTTGAGTTAATTATTATTCTTTTTTGCAATATTATCAGGATACGACATTTATATTAATTTTAACCAAACTTTCAGATATTATTTTTAAAAATTTCGCATTCTACATCAATTTTCTGCTCAAGGAATTTTACCAGTCTTTACGTATTAACTACAATCGCAACTGTTGATAAGAGACTGTAACGTCGATATTATACCGGTACTATTTATCAATCAGGTATCTACTATACCGACATAACACTGTTAATAAGAAGAAATCCTTCTTATCAACGACAAAATTTATGTAATAATTGAAATATAACATCGTAAAGATAGGAGCATAGAATCTTGCATAACGCATAATGTATAATGCATAAGAAAATATCGAAGTCCTTCATTTCTTTTCTTTTCATGAAATAAAAGACTCTGATTCGTTAATTTTCTTATGAGTTATGCGTTATGCATTATAGGTTATGCAAAGGTCTGTGTTTCGGCCTTAATAATTAAAAAAGAAATTATTATGACTCACAGTAGATGAACCATATTTGGAATGCAATTGAATAACTCCAAACTCACCTGAAACAATAAAAAAATCAATGCTGTTTATAATATTCTTCAAGTAGTTGTTATAAAAACTATATCAGAAGCTGTATCAAAGCAAACAATTATAACGATTTTATCTTTAGATATGTAAATAGCTAAGACTCTTTATTTCATTTATAAACAAACTATACTTTAATTAACACAATCTTTTTAATTTTCAACAAAAAGGAGTCCTGCGCATAAATCAGGAAATGGAGCGAGAATATAGGACGATTTCTGCATATTACACATTATATTATAAATATTAACAAATCTTCCTATTTCCGACAATGAAATTAACTGCTACAGAAAATAAGTGCGCGATATATTGACAGATCGTCACTGTAATTTATTGTATTTTATTGCACGATTTGTGTCTTGTTTGCATATATTGATTTATCTGATACGCTCCACGGTGTTCGATCGAGTAAATAGACGGTTTTACCTATTCGTATAAAATTGCATACAGAGCGGTAGTTCTTCCGTTTACAGCGAAACGAATGTCGAATAAAAAAGCATCTCAATCACTAACCATAAATGAAAAAAAAATATTTTTGTACAGTCTATTTGTTTTAAAACAATTTTGTCCAACAAACGAAAAATATTACTGCAAAAATGTTTCCACTACAACACATCGTTTTTATTTGCGTCAAAGTAGTATTGAATACAATATTCCATTGCAAAATTAAGAGAACATAATGAAAAAATTAATTGTTAATTTGCTCTATACATTTTCCATTTGGCATTTATATTCTAATTGCCTAAAAATATTCTTAATAAAAACAGATCGTTTTGTCGAGATTATACAAATGCATTTATCCTGTGCCGTGATTCACTTTGAAGTCTGTGCAAACCGTATTATTTAGTTTCAAGGATCAAAGCCGTGCGATTTCGCTTGCGTCAACATAATACACACGCCCAATTTTCGTACAACAACACGCGCCTAACTTACGTACAGCAATGATTTTATACGTAGAAATTAATTTTCCTGTTCAAGTACAAAGTGGCGCATGTAATGAAAAATGAGGTAATATTAACTCCTTCAACTACTGCTATGAAAACTAAACCCAAGTTCTAAAGCAGTCTAATTGAAAGACAGAATGCAAGTGAATCTCCAACTTATAGCGACTGACAGAGAAAGTTCAAAGTTTTTTTATTTATAATTTAGAACCTTGTAACATCAATCGTATAGATTATATACTAATTATCCAGAAATTTTCGTTTCGGGTCCGAATAACATTGTTGCTTGAGAGTTAATATTATAGTGCAAAATAATGAAATATATACTAACTTAATTTTCTCATATTTCTCAAGTGGCATCTAAAATCTTTTTATCAAAAGTTGTATCCACAACAAATATAATATCATAGTTTTATAAAATTTTATGTAATAGCCTCAAATTTATTTTTATCGCCTTTTTTGACAAAAAACATAATTCATTTTTCACTTTATTAATTATTGCCATAATTTTAATATTAACAATAAATTATAAAGCCAAGAAAATATAATGTTAAGTTCTCAAATATCCTTGTAAGACCCTTACTAAAACAGACTTCTGAGCAAGATCTAGGTCAGATATATTGACATTATCACGTACCCCGTGTGTACAAGAGGAATCCCGGAGGATCATTTCGCATCTAACACCCCTTTCGGCTCTCTACAAAACACTTTATTATGATCACGATCAGATAAATCACCAAAAACATAAATATCATTTCAAATAATTAATTACTTACAAATAACGATTGACGACATTCTTCCTAATTCAATAATTATTGTTGAAACGAAACTATAGTTGATTCATTTTCAATTATGGACGTACCCACTGACCATAGATGCATGCCAATTTGACCTATTAATCGAAATTACCCATTGTGACAATATTAACCATCTTGATCATCTAATATGCCATATCCTTGATGGTCATATCTCACAAGCTCAATGCTTATTAGAATATTCCATTAAGTATTAAAACTATAATGTGAATGCGTTATTAAACTCTGATCTCGCGATGTCTCATAAATCTGAATAGGTTTTAAAGCTAAAGTTATAAAAATCAACATATAAGGGAAGTAAAAGCGTCTTTGGCAAATTCTGCAAAACAGCTTAAGGCGTCACGAGTATGTATCAACTTTTACGTATATTTAAAGTTATTTAAAGTTAGAGCGTGCAAACGTTGCACGCTTTCTTTATACAAATACCATCGCGTACCATCGACGCAATAAGAATTCTCGAAATTCCTCTCAACCGTCTTCGCCTTACCAAGCATTCCTGAATGCCATGAGTAACTTTAAAATAACTTTGCTTTTAGCGCTTATCGACAGGGCTTTCAAATTAGTCGGCCGTCTATCGATGTTCGCAGACATTTTGGACCTAAATGGTGACTTCTGCGATTTCACGAGAAATTCGTTCCCGGCAAATGAT